AATTTTTACGGTTGTTCACATTTTTCAGTTGAAAGTTCAAAGAAACTGAATCAATTATATATTGACGAATGCTTTATTACAGAGTTGCATTTGTTGTCATCGTATTTTAATAGGGCAACAGGTAAGTTGGAGACGAGTGATCAAAAGTGACTCATTTTTTCTAATAGAAGCTAGCTTCCAAATGAATGTATGGGATAAGCATATGAGAGCAGGTTTAGAGACATTTTGAGAGATTGAATATGTTATGAAGTAAGTGAAGCGATTTTAGGGGACAAAGGAGGATGTAATTAATAAATGATTGCAATGAATAAATGATTGATTGAAATCAACTAAAGAATCTAAGCAACGGAAGAAACAATGTCTACCTCTGCTTTGTAAATGTAAGATGGTTAATATCATTTCCAATCATATTTTATTTGGAGAATAAAAACTTAAGTTTGGCAATGCGTTCCTCCTATTTTCGTCGTAGCCTAAGGTATCACAGAGAATGAAAATATATTTAACATTAAGGGCGAAGGAAGAGCAATCGTTTTGTAGGTGAGGACCACTTTGCTTCTATCTTTTAGTCTGAAATTATGATAAGTATGATGTTTTCCACAAAACAATAAAGAATAGCGATCTAGGGGGTTTCTATAACTCGCAGTGTTGTCTAGCAGTGCTCACCGTGCAGTATTTATTTTCAATAATTTCAATCGTCACTAAAATTAATATATATAGACTTCATTAAACCACGCAACAGGCTGGTTTATGCATTTTAATTTCTTCGAAAAATGATTTGTATAACCCAGCCATGTAATAAAACACAAGAGGAGACATTCGTGTCTTAATGTAAAACCGTTCACCTTGTACTTTCACGTCCTGGAATATGGAACGCAGCCAACGAGACCAATTCAGGCCGGCGCGCCACTGACCATGTGTACTAATTTCCCACGCCGCATCTTTCCACATATCGATGGAGGTCAACCGTTCATTGAGACGGGTTGTGAATGTATCTAACGTGATCTATTGGATGCTTATGTACATTTTTAAGGTACCAATCGCACCGTGATAAGTTTACGGCAAAGTATTTATTTATGTAAATTAATGGGAGAAATTCAAAATCGCAAATTAGTTTCCAAGTGAGATTTCTTGAAGATTTCTTGACGTTTTATTTTTTATCAGAAGTGTGGTGAGATGAGAAAAAATAAAAACGAAAGAATTAGTACCATATATTTTGTGCCATCACAATATGCTAAAGGTCGAGTGAATCAACATAATATACAGCACCCTGTACTGTTCGCTGAAGGAAAAAATTCTCAATGAAACGTAAAGATAATGTGAGTGAACGAAGAGCTTCTTAACGTTTAAACAATGGAATCACTCAGAATGGTCAATGCAAACTTGAAAGTAAATTAATACATAAAAAAGGGGACGTAAATACGAAACCTATCAGAGCACCAGCTGCGCAAATTCTCCTCCAGACAGGAGATAAACGCGATGTATTAGATCTATTTATCGATAGATTTATTTAGCAGTGCACTTGACGTAAATCAGCTGTTCCGATTTCATCCAATCGGGAGCTTTTATGTCGCTACAGTGATGTCACTATGGACAGGTTCAAGCTCCCGATTGGATGAAACCTTGAACAGATAATTCACGTCAAGTGCAAGGTTAAATGAATCACAGTACAGCTGAACTGGCAAATCCATCACCGCCGGGGCTCGAACACTAGAACTTCCCGCTGAGAGACACAGCGAAGAGACAGGCGGCAGTTGTAGACTTGAGCTATTTCAGTCGGCACATAACTGAGAATAGTAGGTTATAGAGCGATGCGTAAGTAATATATTGTGAAGTGAGGTGTCGTGCAGTGCAGAACAGGGAAATAACGTAGGAAGTGATTAAAGGGTCATAGTGAAGTGAAGTGAAGGGAGGTGCTGTTGAACAAAAATTCAGTACGGAGTTTGGTTAAAGATATTTCTTTTTTTAAGGTAATTTAAATGTTTTATGAATTAGGAAGTTTTTGTATCATTATTATTTTTATTATTCTTGTAGTAACTATTGTTGTCATTATCTATGTTTTATCAGCTGTTTTTATTGTCTCTATGATTATTATTATACCATTATTATTATTATTATTATTATTATTATATAATTTGCATGTTAGCTGTATTATCTTATTTATGTAATTAGTTGCCCATTTGCAGTTCAAATAAATTTATCTTTATCTTATCGTATGTTATAGTAGAGCGCATGTTTATCCCCCAGTCCAAATCCTCGGTTCCGTAGCGAACGAAGCGCAGCTCCAACTGCGCGCGCACGCTCGAGGCGGCGCTGCGCGGAGCGGCGTGGAGAGAGGCTGGAGGCTGCGTGGAGCGGCGTGGGCTGGTGGCGGTCGGGACGGCGCTGCCGCGCTGCCGCGCCGTTGACTTCGCACCCAGGGCGGGTCAAGGAGGGTCGCCGCGCCGCCCGAATACTAAGGCCCTCCCCCTCCCCCCGCTCCCCCGGAAGAAGCCTGCAGTTCACAGTATTCCACGTCACGACGCGACAGCTGGAACTTCAGGCTTCCTAAATACTTTCCCGCGGAAATAATTTTACGGCGGCGATGGTGTAACGGTTAGAGTATCGGACTGTTATACCCGGAAGCGGGTTCAAATCCGATCGAAGCCGCGGATTTTTAAATCCTTTTACGCCTTCCTTCGGAGGAGAAGTAAAGCCGGCTGTCCCATGTCAGTAGAGTTATTTACTTGTATAAGATCCTCAAGCCTAAATGACGCCTCTGAGCTTAATTCAAATCGCCTGTTTTGTCGATCAAGAAATACTTCCTTTCTCCGCTAGTGTGTGAATGGAGCGTAGCGAAATTTGCGTGGTCAGACGGCAGTGCGGGCCTGATGTCCCGAGACCCGCCTCGTAAAATAAGACATCAATTCAATTCAATAAATGTAGGATAAAATCGACCCGGTATCGCTCGGGCGTTTCCTAGTTGGCGGTGAAGCACCACCGGCCCCCCACGCCCGTTTACATATATCATGCGTACGTCTGTGCAACGAATAATGTACAACGCATTTCATACCAATAATAGAACAGCCAGATCGTCGTTTTAGGGAATAAATAAATTGCAAGAGATTTAACGTTTTTCGTGCACGCAGAACATCAAGAATCCAATTGGCGTATTGGGTCGAGTGTCCGACTTTGACGGCCAGTCAACGGTGTTCTCCACGCCTGGTGCTAATTTAATTCCCTTGGTGGGTAAGAGGAATATGTGGCGAACATGACATATTCCCTTCAGAGTAACTTGCGAACTCCACTTGCCTGAGCTTTTCTTCGCCACACAGCAACAGAAGCTGAGACAATTTTAGAGGAAAACTTAAACTCTATTTTTGCCTCGATCAAGAATCAAACCCTGGTCACACCACGGGAAGCTAGTACGCTGCCCACGAGCCATCCTAGAGGCAGGTGAAGATCATCATACGTATTTATTATTGACTTAACCTCAAAATTGTAATTATTTTAGTATCATTGTTCTCACCGGGGTGAGTCGTGGTAATTATTATAGAGGATATTGAAACACTGCTTAATTCGCAGTTCAACACTAGAATTGAATTTTCGTATTTTACAACAAATATAGCACTCGCCCTTCAGTAGACTAGTAGCGATGGTTTCCGATCATTTACTTTCCTCTGTCATCGGGCTGATTCGACAAGCAGCACCACACCATTTCCCAGATGCATTGCATGAACTCCCGAGTTAAAAGTTATTGGGGCCGTTATGTAGTGGGAATACTAAAGGCCGCTCCACAATTCCAAACGCGACCGTGAACGTGAAGAGAGTTGAAAGACGGACATCTCAGGTAGACGTTCACATGACGGGAATGCGGAAAGATGGTAAACATTTATATTTGGCCGAGAATGGGAAGGCCCTCGACCAATGAATGTGCAGCAAATGGCAACGACGTTTTCCAGCGGAACGAGAGGGCAACTTGCCCGCGGCACTGGTCTGGGGAGTTGAGAATGTAATGAAAATTGATATTAGAGCGTGGAGTTGCAAAGTTACTGTTTGAAGCGGAGTTTGTGGGTCATTGTTGAGCTGTTTTAATTATTTTTAGCAATTGTAGTTTAATAATTTTTCTAGTCGTTAATACTTATAATTAAAATTTCTCTTCCTCTATAAAATATATTTCGTTAAAGAACATTGAAGTTGTTTATTTTTAATAAACTTTTAGTTGCATTTACTGCAAGTTCATAATAGTTTTTGCACTTTTCCATTCTTAATATTTTGTTTTTTGTTTATTATTCTTACTTTTAAGTATTTATTATTCATAGCAGCGTACGCAGTCGGTGGCGGTCGGAGTCTGAAAAGCTTCTCGGTGGCGCCACCGAGTGGATCCGTGTGGAGGCTCCGTAAGGTCGTTTCGTGATTCACACCTCTGTGGGCTCAGTACCCGACAAAGATCCGTGGCAGTGGACAAAGGGAGGCAGTAGGCAAAGTCCGATCCAGTGGTGCGACTGGTGTGAACGCTGACATTTAGATCTGTGTTCACCTGGCGGTGGTGCGAATGCATTTCTGCGCCGCTGGTGGCGGGACTCCGCCACCGAAGGCCACAGCAGCGCGACTCCCCCACTCGTGTGAATGCATCTATTTTAACAAATGCTTTTCTACCAGACGCGCTACTCGGAAGCGCTGCAAAGTGGCTCTATGTGAAGGCGACCAAAGGATCCCTTCTCACTGCGCCACTCAGAAGTGCTTCCGAGAAGCGACAATCCCGCCGTCACACCGACCGCGGAAAGGGAAGGTTTTGCCACAGTGGACTCAAGTGGCCGCCATAGGCTCGTCACGATGATCAAAGGGCAGACCCGAACTGGAGGTAGCGACTGAATGCCCCAGTGAGAAGACCTCCATTTAAACCAATGCTTTACTAGTGTTGCGAACGCGCTTCCACCGGGAGTCCGCCACCGCGTTCCGCAGCAGCGTAACTCGTCCCGCCACTCGTGGGAAGACCACCATTTAAATTAATGCTTTGCTACCAGCCCGCGGCACTCGGAAGCGCTGCTGAATGGCGCCGTGTGAAGACCGCTCCTAGTCCTCACGTGGGCCGATTGCGCGCAGGAGCTGATGCTGCGCAGCTGGCGGCGCGACGGGCGCGCCATCGCCCTGGGCGCGGCGCTGGGCGTGCTGGTGCTGGTGCTGGTGGCGGCGGCGGCAGCGCTGCTGGGCGCGGGGCCCGGCCCACGCCCGCCGCGCGACCCCTTCGCCTCGATGCGCGACGTGCTTAGGGGCAGCTTCATCCCCAGGCACTTCAACGCCACCTGGCTGCCCGGCGGACATCTCTACTTCCTGGTACGGATGCTTTCATGTTTTTGCCTTTCTCTTGGTTTTCTACAAGCCTGTAGAAACGAAAATAAATTTCTATATCTTGGGTTTCTAAAGCTATGTCTCGTCTCGCTTGGTTTTGATGTCCGTAAAGTTAGCATACCACTTATCACAATTTTGAAAAACTGTATCCCATAATTTTGTTCTAATTAAAGACTAATTTATACCCATTTTCAAAATTTTTGAATTTGGGTATAAATTAGTCTTTAATTCGGGCAAACATCTGGTACATTTAGTTTTTATGTATCATGCGTTTTTATTGTGTGGGTATGCTAACTTAACGTTAAGTTAGCGTATCCACATTTAGTGTTGAATATTTCAATGTTGTGCATTAGTAGAAAATTTTTAAATTTGGGTATAAATTTGTCTTTAATTAGAACAAAATTCTGGGATACAGTTTTTTAAAATTGTGATACGTGGGTATGCTAACTTTACGGACATTTGGTTTTGTATAGCTAACTTCAACTGGTTAAATTGCGTGAAACGTCACTGTAATGAAAATACAGTGGTAAAACAAAACAACGTTAGCCCATTTGTTTTTTCACGTGACGAGTTATGCAAGAATTACGGTAAAGCACCATTCAAAAACAAAATTTTGCAAACGGAATCCATGGATCTTCAATGTGTATTTTTAGCGAGGCATCGGTTTCGCAGTGGATCGCACGATTCAAAAATTCACAGATCAAAGATATAGACTTGGTTCGTGAGTCACATTCGTAGTAAAGATGTACCGCGTAGTGAAAAACCTCGAGGTCGCAGCTTAACTCGGGAAGTATAGGGGAAGAGTTCCCTTTCAACTCTCCGTCTTTTCTTTGCCCGAACGTCAGGCAGCGAGAGTGAGGGGAGCGGGAGCGTTTGGAACCGCGCAACCAGCGGTTCGTGCACTTTGCTGATCAGTGCACTTTGCTGAAGGGGAAAGACAAAGAAGTCAGTTGCATCAACAACTGCGATGGAAAACGAGAAATATCTATAGGATCAGTTCGCCTGTTTGATTGAATTTCTGCCAGTATACGTTGTGAGATTACATTGTAGAGGATGCAAGCTGCTCACCTCTGCTTGCCGGTCCACGCACTGTTCTCTTTCTGACGCAACGTTCACAATTCTGTGCCATTTCCCACAGTCTCGTTAAACGTTGACAGAGGCCTCCATAGATAGGAGTACAAGAAAATAGGATACCATCCCTGGAACAGCATAGCTCTATCAATAAATCGTTTCCTTTTCTGCCCGCAGCAGAGCTACAAGATATGGCCGATTAACAGACTTAAGAAGAAAAGCGATTACTTCTCCCTCAGAGTGAGTTGGAATCGATGTCGGGCCGCCAAAAGCGTACGCAAAAGTATGCGTAAAACTCAATCAAAATAAATGTCCATATTTCAAATAAAAAATTCAGTATCAAATAAATTTTACATAATTATTAACTAAAATATACATTTCCCTCTCACATCAAAGTAAATATTTCTATTGGTTCATGCAGAAGAACCCAACAACAAATATTTTGCTGTCAAAGTAAACATCTCATTATCCCAACCATTTAAGATCCTTGCAGTAAACCCCCAAAGCTCTCCACTATCCCCAACGGTCTTTTAACATACACATTGTACTGACGATATTCTCAGCCACACTTCCACCGAAACGACTCTCTAGACGACACTTTTATTCATGTCCAGTCATTCTCACCATGGGGCCTCTTCTGCCCTTCAAGAAGCTCTGAAAGAATTCGCCATTTGATCATCGAATTGGCTACTTAACCTTAACCCTGCTAAATACACTGCCAAATGTTCACCCTGAAACACATATCACCAGCCTTCCGCTATCTCGGTCATTTATTCGCATCATGTAGGCATTGTCGTACTGGATATCCGATCTAACACCTCAGCCCACATGCACTCGCCCCTAAATCTAGCTAATCCCTCCTTACACCAAATCTATCCTCTTATTAATAAAAAGATATTCCTTATCCTAAGGATCACCTTTCACGTTTATAAACCGCTAGTCCTCCCTGTTCTCCCAGAAATCACGTACGCAGCCTCGTTTTGGGAAGTTGCAGCCCCCTCTACAATAAAACACATCCAAACCCTACAAAATAAATTCCTCCGCCCTGCCTTAGATGTTCCATGGTACATTTGAAATGCCAAAATTCACAGAGACCTGATAACATCTCCAGTCACCCAGCACATCGCTCGCCTCTCCAAAATATTCAACAATGTTCATCAGTTACCTTTCCAACCTACATTATCTCTAGGAAAAACCACCAACATGCAAACATCTCCCTTAACTGCATCGCTTTCAGATTCCCCGAAGTTGAATTACCCCCTGTAACTCCTCTTATATCTCCTCTAACTCTTAAGCCCGTTTATTCCCATACATTTCACAAATCACCAACATCCTTCCTCTTATTTTTTTTGTATTATTGTGTACATCCTACCAAATGGTTTCACGCAGTTCTGTAAAGTGGATATGTGCACTGTATCAATAAAAATAATAAAAAAGTAAAAAAATTAGGAAAATATGTGAGGAGGGCTTCCTTTCATTCTCTCCTTTGGGAAACCACCACTGTACTGATCGTCAAATTAAGTCACGTAATTGGAGCCCTGTGCGAAGAACATCAACTGCCACTACTCCAAACTGATCAACAGAGAAGAACTTGATCGGTGGTAGCAAATACAGTTATAGCCTAGACGATTTCAATTGAATTTTTAACGCACGCCACGTGAAAGGTTTTACTACGCGGTTCAGCTGAGATCCACTGCGGCATAGAAACTATGCTTCAAAACGATACTATCGTGGGCGCTTTGAAATTGTGATTATTAAATATAAGTATAATTATTAAGCCATTTTAAAATGACCGTTGACACTGATAATTGTCTCACGTGTTGCCAATCCCTTTGATTAGGATGAGCACGAGCAACCAACCTTGATGAAAATGAAGAAACAAGGGGACGCTGTGTTTGCCTACAATCTCATAAGCAACGAATCGATGCAGACGGTGAGTATTTATCCCTACTGCAAATTATCCACATAAAGGAATCAAATCACGCACTCATGAAACCTAATAAACACCACATTGTGCACATGGTCCAAATTTGGGTTAGGTACATTTAGTGAACAGTGGTATTGACATTAACTTAGGTTGAATGAAACCTAGTGCAGAATGCATTGTTCCAAGGTGTGCAAAAATTTTGTATTAACTTACAAGAACCATTTATGACTGTTTGTGAATGTGATTTTTTCGTTAATGTTACAGATCAGAAAATTGGTGTGGGCGTTCGCTTTCATCCCATCACCAGACGCCAAATATATCCTTGTGAAGCACGACATTCACCCCGTACGTCACGTCCCAACTTCGTTTGAGCCAACGACGCGGTGTCCGTAAGAACGCGTTCAATAGTTAAGCATATTGAATGTACTGTTCTGCTTATTGCTTACAGAGGTATTATTGGGTAGTAAATCAGGAAAGCACACCATACGATTGGGACTGCAAAGCGATACAATTTCGGTGAATGAGTTGCACACAATGTGCAATCGTAAGAGCATTGAAGAAACAAAAAAAATTATTGGCAACTTGCCAATAATTTACTACTTATATTATACAAAAAAAATAATTGAGAGTTTGTAATGCATGATTATGTACTACTTAGTAAAACACATTTCTGATTGAGGCGTAAGGAATGATACCTCTGCGTAAAGTCACTTCCAGTATGGAAAGGCGAGGATCTTGCTTTGTTCGCAGATGGACCCGAGCACCGACACTGAAATGCAGTTGGAGCTAGTGGACGTCGCTACCCAGTGAGTATGTGAAAAAGTTTGTACGTCAGCCTAACTTTTTCAATGCTCTTTATGGAGAACTTACGATCGTATCCCAATTATCCACCTACGACTTACATTTTTTTGGTCTATTTGAGCCCAATTATTGTTTATCTATTGTCTTTAGATGTTCGTAGTCATTACCTTAGGACACAGAAATCACTCTTCTGGTTTACGTCCAGTTGCTCTAACTTAGACCAACTGTACGTAAACCATGGGACCCGATTTCGAGCTCCGAACGGGGGGGGAGCAATACTTGGAACAAAATTAATTACAAAATACGTAAATTATTTGAACAAAATTAATTATAAAATACGTCAATTCTTGGAACAAATTTAGTTATCAAATACATAAATTCTTTGAACAAATTTAAATATTAAATACATAAGTTCTTTGAACACATTTAATTATTAAATAATCAATTATTTGAACAAATTTAGTTATTAAATACAGAAATTCTTTGCACAAGTTTAGTCATTAAATACATAAATAATTATCTGAACAAATTTAACGAGCAAAGCATCCGTCCCTGAAGACGTCTGCGGCCGTAAAGTATTTGAACAAAAATAATTATAAAATACAAAAATCTTGGAGCAAATTTAAATATTAAATACATCAATTCCTTGAACAAATTTAATTATAAAAACATAAATTATTTGCACAAGTTTAATCATTAAATACATAAATAGGTCTCTGAACAAATTTAACGAGCAAAGCATCCTTCTCTGAAGGCGTCTGCAGCCGTACAATATTTGAACAAAATTAATTATAAAATACAAAAATCTTGGAGCAAATTTAAATATTAAATACATCAATTCTTTGAACAAATTTAGTTATAAAAACATTAATTCTTTGCATAAATTTAGTCACTAAATACATAAGTAATTTTCTGAACAAACTGAATGAGCAAAGCATGCTTCTCTGAAGACGTCTGCAGCCGTAAAATATTTGAACACAATTAATTAAAAATACAAAAATCTTGGAGCAAATTTAAATATTAAATAAATCAATTCTTTGCACAAATTTAGTTATAAAAACATAAATTCTTTGCACGAGTTTAGTCATTAAATACATAAATAGTTCTCTGAACAAATTTAACGAGCAAAGCATCCTTCTCTGAAGGCGTCTGCAGCCGTACAATATTTGAACAAAATTAATTATAAATTACAAAAATCTTTGAGAAAATTTAAATATTAAATACATCAATTCTTCGAACAAATTTAATTATAAAAACATAAATTCGTTGCACGAGTTTAATCATTAAATACATAAATAATTCTCTGAACAAATTTAACGAGCAAAGCATCCTTCCCTGAAGGCGTCTGCAGCCGTGCAATATTTGAACAAAATTAATTATAAAATACAAAAATCTTGGAGCAAATTTAAATATTAAATACATCAATTCTTCGAACAAATTTAATTATAAAAACATAAATTCTTTGCACGAGTTTAATCATTAAATACATAAACAGTTCTCTGAACAAATTGAATGAGCAAAGCATCCTTCCCTGAAGGCGTCTGCAGCCGTAAAATATTTGAACAAAATTAATTATAAAATACAAAAATCTTGGAGCAAATTTAAATATTAAATACATCAATTCTTTGAACAAAAAGAGTTATTAAATGCATAAATTCTTTGCACAAGTTTAATCATTAAATACATAAAACATTCTCTGAACAAATTTAACGAGCAAAGCATGCTTCCCTGAAGGCGTCTGCAGCCGGTGGAGGGGCCGCGCGGGCGCCGCATCCAGCAGGCGATCTGGGCGCCCAGGGGCAACTCCTTCGCCTTCGTGCAGCGCAACGACGTCTTCTACGTGCCCAGCGCGGGCGACAGGCCGCTCAAGGCGCTGCGCGTCACCCGCGACGGAGAGTTCGGGCGCATCTACAACGGCCTCCCGTCCTGGAGCTACAAAGGTGAGCTTCTAGCTCAGCACGCAACTCGAAGTACGCTATATTGCCTTCCGTTGTTTTACCGTTAGCGTATCAGGATGTTATGCCCAAGTTTGCGGGTTCAATGCTAACTGAATCGAACCCGCGGATTTTTTTAAAAGAGATTTAAAGAGTGCTTAGTGTGCATTCTTTTGGACGAGATGTAAAGCGGACTGTCCCTTCTTGTAGATTTACTGTCTGTAAAAGATCCTCAGCTTAGAACAAGCCTCTGAGTTAAATTCACCTGTTTTATCGTACGAATGATACAATCTTTCAGCACTAGATGGTGAATGGAGCGTAGCAAAATTTGTGTGGACAAAACGGAAGAACAGGCCCGATGGCCAGAGTCTCGCCACGTAAAATTATGCATAATTCAAGTTAATTGAAGGAAACCTCATGTTTCCTTAATTAAATCACAGCTAAAGCATTTGGAAAAACAAAACAGGTGTAGAATGCACTGTATTTCAAAGGAAAGTGATTCAAAAAGTTGAATCATTGAACTATTATTTTACCGACGAGTTAAGTTTTATCTGTATTTCGAAGTAAAATGAGTTGAAGATTTTGGTTGGCTGGACTCATGAAGAAGATGCAGGAAGGATGTTTCATGTAATTGCGTGATGGTCGTGCACTAGCCTTCCCACACTGACAAAGAATTCATTTAGTCCAATTAACTCAAGACGAGCAATTTTTTGAATCATCCCTATCTATTCAGCGCATTTCTTTTAATAATACCCTATAGAAGTTTGTTAAAAATATAATCGTTGACGTAATGATAAAAATTGGGGGGAATCTAGCTAAAATTGGAAGGGGATCATTATATGAAATTAAAGAGAATACATTTTTAAACTATAACCTGCATCCCATTACTAGATACTTTAACTTATGAAAAGTAACAAAATGTAAGAAAGTTATTTATAAACAGTAAATTGGCGATAATTTGAATAAAAGTTTGTTTACTTCGCATTACCCGCTGCCAAAGGCAGGATTACGTCTGCCCGGGCGAGTAAAACACATGTTACAACGGTAAACTACTAACCAACACCGAATAAATTCATGTTTTTCATGTTATTTCCTTTATTTACACACAAATAAAATGTTTATTCTCTTTTTGACATGTTGGCGGTGGCTGCCGCTTCAGTCGAAGTGTTTAAGGACGATCCAGCAATGTGGTTTTCTCCTGATGGCACCTACTTGGCATATGGCTCTTTTGACGAATCAGCAGTGGGCACCGTGGTGATCACTGAGTACTTTCCACCCCGCAGAAAGGGGCCCTACCCAAACAACATTACACTGCGTTACCCTATGGTGAGTTAAGCAGAAACGAATATATAGTTTCCACTGTAAATTAAATATCGACAATTCTATGTCCATAAATAATCTTTAGTTCCCATCTCCTCCGTGACCTCCTGAATGTTACCGTCGCTCCTGAACCATAGCAGCCTGTACGAAAGTCGTCTAGATCTCCTGGAGATTGATTTTCGTGTACTTCGATATTATTATTATTATTATTATTATTATTATTATTATTATTATTATTATTATTATTATTATTATTAATTTTCGAATGAACCACTATGGATTTCGTTTATTTCAACTTTCTGCCTTTTTCATATTTTGCTTCCATATCTCTTTCATTCGGGCCCGATGTTTCTCTTTCCTCTGAGTCCAAATGGTCCCTGTCTTTATTTTGGTTTGTCCTCAAATTCTGGTGAATTTCTTCAGTTTGTTCGTCATTGAAGACCGCTCAGTAACACCTGCTAGTGTAATTCTGAGCTCCTTCAAGTCCTTTTCAACTTATTTAAACCACGTACTGGTCTTCTTTAATTTTGTGTAATTTGTGAAATCGAAATAACAAATCGTGGGGAAGGTGAAGCTTGGGAAGAAATCATTTAGATGCTTTTTCAGTCTACGATTTGTGAGGAGCGAGGTGTTTATTCGACGCATCTAGATCTCCGTTGGGAAGTGTACGTTGTTTTTATATCCTTCTAATAAAAAACATCAAATTAATTAATATGAAGATAATTTTAAAACTGTTTAAATACGATGACGTCAGCTAGTAAAAATGTTAGATATTATTATCCTGAAATAGAGACAAAGAATAGTTAAGCGCACCAAAAAGAAAATTAATACTTTGGTTTTAACAATGATATTTTTAATGTACTAGTTACCATTTTGATGTATAATTCTAAAAGGATAAATATGTCTGTAATAAGTATGTACGTCAGCTTCTGGGTCAATAATCCTCATCTCGATCAGATTTTCGGTCCAGTTGCCCTAATTCTTTGTGAAAGTGCTAAGACAGTCCCTTATTTTGCTTTTAGACATAAATGTAGCTTCACTTACAATCAAAATACATTCTGCCAAAATTGATAATTATTTTAACTAAATAAACTTGGCCTAAAAAAAGAACAGCAAAACCACGTTGGGTGCACTTTTTTTGAGTTCTGTAGGGAATGTAGATATTAAAAAAAAATGTTCTTCATTTTCTCGCAACAGTAAGCCTATTCCTTTCCGTAAAGCACTAGCAATAGCTGCGAAAGTTTCTTTCTAATTTTCCATTGCAAGTAGTCTTTATTACACAATTGCTACTATTTTCATACCAATTCTTGCCAAAAGCGCTCTTTGATACGTTTATTCATAATTCAACTTAATAAATATAGTATTTAGGACAGTCATCCCAGAGCACACATTGCTCTTCTCCTCGTAGTACGTCACACATTTTAAAAATGGTTTTGAGATTAAATAACTAAATAAAGTTGCTCGCTACGATGGACTCGAAGATCTTACTATTGGGGAACTCTGTTGGTAGAGCGCGATGCCTCGCGTTTAACGTCTTCAAATGTCATTAACTTTACATTGATCAACTATAAAATACTTTACAAAATAATGTTTACATTCAGCGCAATGCCTTCACAGTCCTACATCTCACCTCACTGCACATCGTTAAAATGTAATGTCTTTTATACATATGCGTTTTTCCTCACTTCACAACACATCATTGCTCATGAATATAAATAATAGTAATAATAATAAATAATAATAATAATAATAATAATACTCATGCTAAAAGGAATGACTAGTGATTTAACAATAAAAATATCAGTTATATTCATTTATCTTACACATAAACATTTTTTGTGATCAAGTATTACAACCGTCCTTTTTCCTTACAAGAAATCGTTCATAAAATAAAATATTATGGTAAAGATTAAGACGTATTTTCCATTTATGGTACTAATAAGTCTAATAATAATTTATAAGACTATCATATAAGACAATAACGTATGCAATTCGTTTATAATGTCGGTTTATTGCTTTCGTACAAATATGAAAACTCTCTTCTAAGGTCGCAGATTTTCCAAACACGTACTAATGCAATAAAGCTTAACATTAAAAACTGGTTGCATAATATACTGTTTCTCATTGTCATTCCCATGCTGCCGTACTCTCGCATTCCCTCTGATCCTTCGTTTTGAGGTTATTGCATTCCTTCCGATACGGCCATCCGTCTCAATGAAGTTCTCTACAATTTAGAACATATTTTCAATTCAGAAGAGACGACACCATAAATTACTTCAAAATTTGAAATCCGATTCAAATTTTCCCTTTCGTTCACGCGTTTCTTTCTATTGCTTCCCTTTCGGTTGCGGTGGTGATTTGCAAGCTTGTGAAATCTTCACATCGACGTCGTAGCTCAACGTGCTTCCGCGTCACACTCTGGTCACACTAATGCGCTTTCTGCTCAAAGCTAATGGGACTACTACGCGCATGCGCCTAACGGCTTGCGCTGACGTCAAAGGCGAAACATCCCCTTTGTGATAAACATGTGCAGACATTATTCGCACAAGGATAAACCCTGCTTTCTTATTAGTCTTGAAGGTAGCGAGGGAGTCTTATTTGAGCATTTGAGCAAGGGAGTAGTCTTATTTGTCTTAGTAGTTGTTATTAGTCTCGTAGGTAAAAGGGATACACATCTTTAATTATTTTGTCATGTAAGAGAGTTAGAGAGGGCAGTAGAGCAACGAGCGAAGAGACGTTTTCACGTCAATAAATCTGAGTGAAGGACAATCGGAAAGTGTACTAGAAAAGTTGAGGTCATTAAAGGGGAACCGTGGCTCAAATTGTCTACCAAAAGTAACAATCTCTACTGCAGCGTATCTAATAAACTATAATTTTATACCAGCTACAATGGTTCAGAGGCAACGGAATTGGATGTGGAGTACCGTCAACCAATGAAGTCACAGATTTATATTCCCGCAGGAGACGGATTTTCGAGGCTAACTATATATTTGGAACAAATTTAACCAGAGTCTGAAGTACAATATAGCAGCCGGCTGACTTGACCCTTTGACATGGTTTGTCACATTAATACCAGGCGAATCTCTGATAAGTAACTTGAAATATGCTACAGACCACGCTCGGCCAGAATCCTTGGTCATGCCTGTCCCTCCCTCTCCCCTTTCACACATAAACTTCCTTGTACTACACTGCCACTCATGTCGGAAGGCCAATCATAATCTTAGATCAGAATCTTGAACATCGCTGAGGGAGATACCAGGAGGGGAAACCCGGCAAGCTGGTAGGTAGGCCGTGGCCGGATCACGTCTCCAAGAGATGGTGCAATGCCGCCAACTCTACAGAAAAAAGTCCACTCAAGGGACTAATCAGTTGAGGAGATGTCGCATCCGGAAACAGCACTCACCGACTGTACTTTTGTGTTGTGTGCGCATGCGCAGCCCGGGACGGCGCTGCCCCAGGCGTCGCTGTGGCTGCTGAACACGCAGGCGGCGGTGGCGTGCGGGGAGGCGCACCCCGTACGACTCGTGGTGCCGCACGAGCTGCAAGGCGGGTGAGCAGCGCGCAAGCACTCGGCCTCGCGGCCATCTCACGTTACGGTATTAATTATTCTCTCTTATATTTATTTCATTATGAATTTGTTTATTGCAACGCGCGATAGCACCACGAAGAATATGTGTACGACAAAAGGTGTTCATGGTTCATTTTACTTACTCGACTTCCTCCACTTGATCAACTTACCCGCACATCCACTACTAGATAAACCTGCGTGCAGATTCTTCATTTGATCCACTTGTTTGAAAACCTTGATTTGATAGACTTGGTCGAGTACCTCCAATCGATCGACATCCTTGACATCTTTCACTTGACCGACATGTTGTATATCTGTGTGATGTGGGGATTCTGATGAGGTGTTGTTGATATTATTAAATAATGAAATAATTTATGTAATCTTTGTCAACTTAGATTTATTGAGAGAAACGTATTTCCACGATTTTTCCGTCATTTTCAGTCTCGCTATACGTGGCAAAAGTCAGGAGATGTTTCCCTTGGAATTCTTCACTTGATCGATCTGCTATGTATCTTCCACTTCATCTACCTGCACACAGATTCTCCACTTGATCAACATGCGCACATTACCTCCACTTGATCGACTTGTTTGAGAATCTGTAATTGATTGAGTTTCTTGAGAACATCCACATGATCAACTTTCTTGAGAAATCCACTTGGTTGACTTTCTTGAGAACCTCTACTTGGTCGATTTGCTTGAGAATCTCGACGTAATCGCCATGCTCTACTTTATCCATTTTTGCGGTATTTCTCCACTTTTTCGACAATGCCAAAGATTCTACACTTCGTCTAGTTGCTTGGAAACCACTATTCGACCTACATGCAGGAGAAATCCGCTATTTAATGTAATTTCCCCCAGGAGATTGGTAGTTGCCAGGGACATTTCTGGTAGTTCCCTTTCGCAGCCGGAAACGGGGAGGTGCAAAACCCAAAAGAAAGGGGTTACCTAATATAAAGTGAAAGGAACTTGTACAAAAAAGACTGCGGGGACCCACAGCGGCTCGCTATGAATGTAATCTGGGGCCGCAAAAAGTCTCTGATAAATGCGAAGAGGAGTGTATTTCAGAATCCATGTTTAAGAGCAGAGTATTCTGAAAATAAAATTGATCTGTTTGAGTTTAACAACACAACAAAACCGTTTGGATAGAATTCACTGTATGCTAACTATTTATGATAACCAATGTTAGACAATTCAGAACAATTAACTCTTGCAGTACAACTGAAATTGTCACAAGTAAAATTCAAACTTGCTTTCATAACATTCTTTGGAGTTGCAAATTAATAGTTTTGACAAGAAATATTGTTGATAAGAGTTTGCTTCAAAGAAATAAATGAGGCGATGCCATTGTGTATCTTTCTGATTGTATAGGACTTCATATACGAGTAATTATTCTTGAAGTTATTATCGACTAGTTGAAAAAGTGAAAATATTTCACACTTAGCACAAATAACAAACATTAGAATATTTCATTACGACTGCTGTATGAAAATTAATCATCTTGAATTTAACATGAATTGCAGTTACCAAGACTATTCATGTCACGGAATAAATATTATTCGTATAACGACAACCCATTTGCGTCAACTTTTTTTATCCCTTTGCACGAGCCTTCCCCTCAGACCGACCTTCTTTATGAAGTACTTCAATTTAAAAGTTATGATAGGACTAGGAATGACATTTCAAATTTTAGCTCAATATCAGGATACGCACCAAAACAAACCGTATATAGAAATGTGTTTCATTCCACGTACAACTCCATTTTCAGTCACTATTTGCAAACTCGTCTGAGTCTCGTCTTTGAGACGTCAAAAGAGATACATGCGTAACAAACACTACATACACATTATATACATACGTTACATGCATTCTTTTTATCATACATACAGAGGTAATCCATACCTCATTCTTACGGAAAGTGACCATAATATGTAATTATGGACGGTGGAGTAACTAGATCCCGCATATTAGTAAATTATAAAATGGTCGTAAATAGTAGAAATTTGGTTGAGTACGGATGGTGATGCGGAGAAAAAGGCAGTCGTGTTCAGTCAAAGTTACGACCTTATAAATGTTTCTAGTGGCAGTATCTTAGTGAAGAGACATGCATTATTATTATTATTATTATTATTATTATTATTATTATTATTATTATTATTATTATTATTATTATGACTGTATGAATCGAAAACTTTAAGTGTTGATCAGAATAAAATTCAGAGATACCTCCAAGTAAATGGGGCCATTAAGAGAATGGTGTAAGCCTCAAGTCAGTTGAAAATCTTGATTTTTCGAAAAATGCAAAAGTTCAAATTTTTGATAAAGTTTTCTGACAATTAATATATTAAAGATTGATATTTTCTCTTAATTAAATCTGTTACTTAAAGGTAGATTTTGAAATACGTTCATGTACAAGTTTTCAAAAAGTGGAGTATTCTCACGTAATTTTGCTTGAAAATACGAGGGAGAAAGAACGTGCTTTTTTAGCAGCACTAGTTTATTTTAGAATCATACTTAACCAAATTACACTATCCTATACAAGGCAAAAATGAGAGAACAGATGGGCAAAATAGCACGTAAGTTTGTGGACAGGATTTGGAGAGGGAAGGGAAATGAGTTATTAGAGCAAGTTTGGTGGAAAATAGGTAAGACCAATGAGACAGATAAATTTGATTGGAATAGGGAAAGGGAAAGTTTTTGGAATAATAAAGTTTATTTGTTGGAGGAGGTGACTTGGTTAAGAGGACAAGAGATTGACTTAAATAATTTATTCAAAGGGATAAAGATCAGCTATAGCAGGAAGATTACGTAAAGTTAAGAAACTCTACGCATAAGAAATGGTTTAAAATTATTCACTTGGATGATATTCCAAATTATTTAAAAGGGAAATGTAAGGAAAGTGACAGGCGAAGGGTAGCAACATGTAGGTTAGGAAATGAAACAAGGGCGAGTAGATACTGGCTAAATACCGAGGGAAAACTGTAGGATATGTGAGACGGAAAAGGAAGATTGGAAACATATTTAGAGAGATCTCAGGTTTTTGAGAAAGGAGGAATGTGGGAAAGGTGGAAAGTTCATGATAAGATGAGGTGTATATTAAAGGACAAAGGTGAAAGAATCAGATGGTTGAGAAATACAGAAAAAAGCGTATTATTGTACACTACTTTTGTAATTTATTCAGTCTTATTGTATATTATTAAGCGAAGCCAACTGTTGTATAATTCCAAAGTTGTAAAAATAAATTCATTCACTCTGTTACACAATATCACTCGTCTGGACCTTGCCATCGCACGGGATGTCCCGCGTCCGGGTCCCTGTGCGGAACTCGGCGAAAGGTCAAGGGTCATGCGGCGGTGGCAGGGGCGGCGCGGGCGGGTGCTCTGGGCGTGGCGCTGGGCGCGGGGGCTGCTTCCGGAGGCGGCGGAGGGGGGAGGGGATGAAGACGCGTGGGCGCGCTACGCGGGCGGCGGGGGCAGTTGCTGCGATCCACTTCCCGTTTTACGAGCGCCACGCGAAATACGTAGACTGCGCTCTACTCGCCACCCACAGCCGTGAAGATGTCTGGGAATGCTGGTCCGGAGCGTGAGGGAATTAAACTAAAATGCGCGAGATTCTGGTTGCTTTTTTTCATTTCAGAACATTCGAAGTTCTAACAGATGTGAATGAACACTGAACACAGTATCAAGAGTTGGTTGTGAGGTACGGAGCAGAGCATTAAACTCGGGAATATCCCATCATTCAGAATATCAGGGGATGAGAATGAGATACCAGAAGACTAGGATAAAAATACCAGGGGAATAGACGCAAAGTCGCCGAGTAATGCCCTCGCAGTTGCTGCTCTGCGATCGACTCGGCGTTTTACGAGCGCACCGCGAAATACGTCGACTGCGCAACGGAGCTCGGGTTTTAACTATAAAGGATAGTCGCGAAGGGAATGTGATACAGAACGCCAGGGAATTAAAGTAAAAAGTATAGGATTTAATCAAATCAAGAATACAATCCATCGACGGGACAAGCGCCAACTTGACCCTTCTGTAATTTTCAGTAGAACATCGAGATTTAGAGCTCCTCTATTGTCTCAGGGTTTATTTTATAAGAAAGCGTATGAACCGCGTGAGATGCTCGATTTAGTTCGACGAGACTCGTCGGGAATACGTACGTGACTCATTCAAACAACAGCCCATTATTGTTCCCCTGAGGCCCATTAGTTTTTTCTTCCTCATCCGACACGTTTGTACCTGTTCTTGAAACGTTATTTTTGAAAAACTGTTTTATAATAATCAATATGATGCTTATTTCGTTTTTTGTTGTAAAACAAAGGTTGTCAGGTATTACTGTATGGTTGAAAAAACTTGAGTGTAAGAAAGGATCAGAGGTCAGTTCGCACACAAATATTTTCAGTTTTGGGGATATTGCAAGGGCTTATGGCACATTTTGAACATTTTAGTACTGTCCATAAAGTCACAGTTCTTTTGAAGAACTAGTTCAACAGTCACTATGCTACTGCGATTGTACAACAGTTCTCTACATAGAAAGATACTAAAATAAGATTTTAATATCATTGTTGGCATGTCTTTTTGTAAGAGAAAGCCGGACTTTCCACGAAGGCATTATGTATGACGACGGTTTGGAATTTTTTTGTAAATATCCGATAATGTTGAAAGCCAAAAGAATACCTTAAGATTCAGAACATTCTAATAATAAAATTCCTAAGAGATGAAACAGTAAATGCTTAACTAAACAAAGACATTGAAGAATGAAGCTGTGGTCCGACGTTGGTATTGGTATGCCTCTGTGTAGAGGACGCCGCAAAAAGTGAAGGTTTCTTCATTACCTCTCCTGCACAGTATCTGCTTGCTTGGCTTCAGCTTCTTTTGTTGGTTGTTTTAGAAGATATGTCTGATCTCTCATCGAAATTTGTAATCTATCTTCGCTTCGGAGCTGGGAATTTCAACACAGGAGTAGCTTGACTACGCTGGCCTAAAATATTAGGAGATAAGATATAGGAAAACAAGGAAAATATTTTC